TGCGTATACCAGCCAGTACACAATCGGGCTACGTTAGTGTGTTAGCGCATGCGCAATATCTCACCAGAGGAGTTATATTTTGTGATGAATATGCATTTAAAATGGTTAGGGGTATCTCAGCATAGATATCCCTAATAAACCTTTATTAGTTGACATGTGTTTATAATTAGGAGAGCGCCCTAGCATGTAGGGTACAAAACACCTACTTTATGCACTCGCGCCCTTCCCCTTGCCTCCCTTGTTCCCCTGTCTCTCGCTCAGCCTCCTTCTTCTTCTACCGCCCCAGCTATCTTCTCTGCCGCCTTTCCTCAGTCTCCCATCCCCTCTTTCTCGCAGCAAGCTATATTATGAAATTTGCCTCAGACGGCACTGCACGCCTAACACGGTGCGCGCGCATGCGCAATATCTCCCGTAAGAAATAGTATTTTCTACAGATTATGCATGTAAAATGAAGAGGAGTTATCCTAGCATAGATTTATATGATAACATTTTATCAGTAGACATTATTTAAGAAATTGAAGGAAGACCTTGCATGTAAGGTCCCGGCTGCGTATACCAGCCAGTGCACAATCTGGCGACGTTAGTGTGTTAGCGCATGCGCAATATCTCACCAGAAGAGTTATATTTTGTGATGAATATGCATTTAAAATGGTTAGGGGGTATCTCAGCATAGATTTCCTTAATAAACTTTTATCAGTAGACCTGTGTTGATAGTTAGGAGAGCGCCCTAGCATGTAGGGTACAAAACATTTACTTTATCCCCTCGCGTCCTTCCCCTTTCCTCCCCTGTAGTTCGCTCAGCCTCTTTCTTCTTCTACCGCCCCAGCTATCTTTCCTGCCGCCTTTCCTCAGTCTCACATCCCCTCTCCCCCGCAGCAAGCTATATTATGAAGTTTGCCTCACACGGCACTGCACGCATAACACGGTGAGCGTGCATGCGCAATATCTCCCGTAAGAAATCCTGTTTTGCAAGGATTATGCATTTAAAGTGAAGAGGAGTTATCCTAGCATAGATTTATATGATAACATTCCATCAATAGACATCATTTAAGAAATAGAAGGAAGACCTTGCATGTAAGGTCCCCGCTACGTATCTCTGGCGGAATTATACACTGTGCAAGTGATGCAGCCTACTTTTCCTTGCTGGAAGCGGTATAGCTTACAACCAAGGATTACCACACACTACTATATAGGAGGTATTATGCCCTCTTCATACACAATACTATATATGAGGCCTTGGGCCCCCAGCATACACTATACTACAATACTATATATGGGGCCTTGGGCCCCCATCATACACTATTCTATTATTACAATACTATATAGGTGGTCTTAGGCCCCCGTCATACAAATACTATATATGAGGCCTTGGGCCCCCAGCATACACTATACTACAATACTATATAGGTGGCCTTAAGCCCCCGTCATACAAACTCAATATATGTGGCCTTGGGCCCCCATCATACACTATTCTATTATTACAATACTATATAGGTGGCCATAGGCCCCCGTCATACAAATACTATATATGTGCCCTTGGGCCCCCATCATACACTATTATTACAATGATATATAGGTGGCCTTAGGCCCCCGTCATACAAATATAACGCCGGCAACACTATAACGTGCTACTAATAACTTATCGAGTACTGCACTGGTGCTTGTCTTGTTTTTCCTATTTAATGCTATATCTATGCCTATGGGTATTACAATCGGCATATACCATGGTAGCTTGTTTTAGCATTACTAAAATACGTAAACAAAAAGAACAATTTTTGGTCGCGGAAGGGTTATTGTCGGAGTGAGCTGACGGGGCCTGGAGGCCACCGGCGGGGGACGAGGTGGCCTAAAGCCACACTTGGAAGTGGATATCTGTCGCCTGCGTGTGTGTGTTCTGGGAGCCAGGTATACCTATGTGCAGAGCTATACACGCGCCTTTTAACATATATAGCCATATAATATTTATTTATTATATAACGGTTAATATCCTGGCTGCAATTTTTCTACAGTTTCCTATGTAGAGATCGCCCACAATGCAACGCCGCCGTGCATGCGTTAAAATAAAGCGTATGCGCTATATCGTGTTTTGCTCACCAAGCATCGTAGTTGGGGTTGGTGGCGCGTAAGATGACGTAGATAATGACGGGCACCACCGGAAAAACTGTAACAAAAACGAAAATTACAATAATTCACATGAGAATAATGAGAATAATAGGAACAAATATGGGAATAGGAATATAGGCAATTATAACAACAATAGATTATAGTAGATAATTAATTAATTAAGATAATAAGTATAATTGATAAGAAATGAGTGTTGACATGAGTGTTGTCTTTATTTCGGTAATTAGTAACTATATCACGGTAATCTTACCCAGCCCTATCCGGCAGAATCGGGCGAGAAACAGCAACAGACTATTATTTTAGTTATTATTTACTACTATTCTAGTTATAGTTATAGTTTATATCTTATTATATATATATATATATATTATATTATATTATATTATATTATATTATATTATATTATATTATATTATATTATATTATATTATATTATATTATATTATATTATATTATATTATATTATATTATATTATATATATATATTATAGTTATAGCAGTGCTGGAAAAAAGCATTCCGTCTCCCAGCCTGGTATAGGTTACTTTTGAGCAGGGCTGGATAATTTTTCTATGGATTTTACTATAGATCGTATAGCAGACACCAGGACTGGCTACGTTTTTAGACTTATTTCCATAACTATACTTATAAGCGTGGTATTTTCGTGCTCCTACCCCATCCTATGATACGAAAGGACGGCATAATATTTTGTGTAGAAGGCAGTGTATTTAGGGCAATATTGTTAGCCTTATCCCGGCAGAATATAGTATAGTTATATAGAGGTAGTGTTTTCGTGGCTTACCACATCCTATGATGTAGAGAGCGAGTATGTATTGTTTTTAAGTGGAAGACTGGGGTTATGTTGTTAGCTCTATGCTCGCGGAATAGGGCTGTTAGGCATTAGCCTACAGTTATAGACGTAGTGTTTTAGGCGTGGCCTACCCCATCCTATGATGTAAAAAGCTGGCATTCTGTTTTTTGCAGAGGATTGGAGTTATGTTGTTAGGCCGACGGAACAGGGCTGTTAGGCACTAGCCTACAGTTATAGACGTAGCGTTTTAGGCGTGGCCTACCCCATCCTATGATGTAGAAAGCTGGCATTCTGTTTTTTTGTAGAGGATTGGAGTTATGTTGTTAGGCCGACGGAATAGGCCTGTTAGGCATTAGTCTACAGTTATAAACGTATTATTTTAGGCGTGGCCTACCCCATCCTATGATGTAGAGAGCTGGCATTGTGTTTTTTGTAGAGGATTGGAGTTATGTTGTTATGCCGACGGAATAGGCCTGTTAGGCACTAGCCTACAGTTATAGACGTAGTGTTTTAGGCGTGGCCTACCCCATCCTATGATGTAGAGCGCTGGCATGCTGGTCTTCTGGAAGGCAGCAGCGATGAGCTGATGCAGATGGAAGCCCTCGCAGAACATCCACGCGTAGCTGGTCAGCCGCAGGTACTTGTGAACTAGTACGGTGAAGATGACGCAGCCGACTCCTCCGTCCTACAGCAGACGTACATCATGTATGTATATATACGTGTGATGTGTGTGTGTGTGTGTGTGTGGTGTGTGTGGTGGGTGGTCGTGTGTGTTTGTTTGTTTTTGTGTGTTTGTGTGTGTGTGTGTGTTTATTTGTTTGTTTGTTTTTGTGTGTTTGTGTGTGTGTGTGTGTGTGTGTGTGTGTGTGTGTGTTTATTTGTTTGTTTGTTTTTGTGTGTTTGTGTGCGTGCGTGTGTGTATGTGCGTGTTTGATTGTGTGTTTGTGTATGTTTGTTTTTGTGCTTGTTTGTTTGTTTGTTTGTGTGTTGTGTGTGTATTTGTTTGTTTGTGTGTGTGTTTGTGTGTGTCTATGTGTGTACGATTGTGAACACATTAGCAATATATATATATATAATTATAGTGAGAGAGAGAGAAAGAGAGAGAGACGGGAAACTAGGAAGAGAGGAAGATACGCCGAGAGAGCGAGACATGAGGTTAGAGATGGTTAAAAAGAGAGAAATCGCGTACGAGAGACCGTGACGGAACATGGTAGATGGGTTTAAGATGTATAAGAAAAGATGTTTCCCGTTCTTACAACACGTTCCGGTGCATCTGGAAATTCCTGCCGCACGCGTTGGCAAGTAAAAACCTGGGAGCCGTTGTCAGAAACAAAATTAATGCTAACATTTGTCTTATCATTAGTATTAACATTAACTTTTCCTTGTAGACCTCTATGCAATGCGCGTATGCGTAACTCGTAACTTTACGATGTTTCTGCCAACGGTCTAGGAAAAAAAGTTAATATTAACACTAATTTTGTTTCTGACAACAGACCCCTTGTCTATACGTGCCAACGCGTGTGACAAGAAAAGGTTAATGTCAAGACTACTGTTAAGGCTAATTTTGTTTCTGACCAAGGCCCCCTTAATAACGTTAATTAACATTGTCTAGCTGTACCGCTGTCGAGGTGCCTGACTGTCCGTCTAGGGCATCCAAGCTGATGGTGACGTCATAGATGAGGAAGAACAAAGAGCTGAGCAAGTGAGCCGTGAAGAAGTTGACGTGTACGATGTTATTGCGCGTGCGCAGCTGCCTGAAAAATTATAAAAATAAAATAAATAAAATAAATAAGAAAAATTAACAAAAATAATACGAAATAAATTCGGAAGAAATCAAACATTTTAAGTTTACATAATGTTCGTATGAAACGAAATCTTCGCGCGAAATATAAACGCATATTTTTGCTGTAAAAAATCAATAATTTTAAAATGAAGTATTAAAATAATGTGATGCAGTGATATTCGGTGATACATCGAATGAATTTTTTTGTGAGCGCGAAAGTAGTTAACTTAACATTTCTTGATCGTAAATTTTTTTACGCGGAAGACAAATTCGCGCGCTGTTGCAATATGGACACAACAATAAACAGTAGTATGTGAGCTCGCCGTAAGATGGCGCGCGCATGCGCACCTGTACGATAGAAAGATGATGATCGCAGGTAGAATGAACACTAGCGATATTCCCCATAGCACGTCGCGTACCATGTAGCGATCCCTAATCTGCGATTCATGAAAGAAATGCGAGACAAGATGCTCAGAAGAGATTCTTGATCACGAGAAAACTTGTGTGTTGCTTGTGCATCGCGTGTGTGTCACGTCGTTGATAGCCGAGTTATAACTAATCATGTTAGTATAGTTATTATTATTATTATTATTATTATATTATGATGGGAATAAAATTAAGAATAAATTTTTCAAAGAGCCGTTAGGTATTAGATAATCTATTATGATATAGCCTGTTAATAAACTCTATAAGTTCTAGTTATAATAGTTCTAGATCACTATTAATAGACTATATAAGTTATAGTTATAATAGTTCCAGATCACTATTGATAAACTATATAAGTCATAGTTATAATAGTTCCATATCACTATTAACAGACTTAAGTTGTCTTGTGATTAAGTATTTAGTAAGCTATCACATCTTTAGCATAATATATGTAATAACTTCAGTATTTTCTTCTGTCTAATAATATGTCATTAAGGTGCGTGATTGCGTATTTAATACGGCATCGCATCTATACATACCAGTTCGTTGATGACATCGCTTTTTTCGCATTCGTTGTAGAAGGTGAACTCTTTATCAAAGCCTCGGCATTCGTCGTACTGCTGGAACCAGGCCACGTCGCCCTCGGCAACGCAGTCCTTCGTCGAGTAGGCTGCGAGTTTTCCGCACACAAACACATACGGTTAGAACGCACCTGACGACGAAGTCTACGTAGTACTCTACACACACATACGCACGCGCGCACGAACACACGCGCGCACGCACGCACGCACGCATGCACGCGCACACACACATACACACACACACACACAAATACACACACACACACACACACACATGCACGCACACACACACGCGCGCGCGCCCACACACATACTTACACACACACACACACACACAACACACGCCGCGCGCGCGCGCGGCGCGCGCGCACACGCACACGCACACGCACACGCACTTACCAACACACACACCCTCCACACACCAACATACACACACACACACACACGCACATTTACACACATACACAACACACACCACACCACTAGCACACACACACTCACTCACTCACTCACTCACACACACACACCACACTCACCACACAACACACACACACACACACAACACACCACCACACTAGCACAACACACTTCACTCACTCCTCACTCACTCACACACACCACACACACACACACACACACACACACACAACACACACGAGCACCACACACGACCACACACACACTAGCACACACAGACTCACTCACTCACTCACTCAGAACACACGCCACACACACAACAACACACACACAAGCACGTAATTATCGAATAATTAACAACAACATCAAATAATTCGATTATCCAATTAATTAGTTTAAAGCCTATTAGGGCGACATATCGCATGAACTCACCACAGCGTAGTAAGGGCAAAACGTAGAGTAGACGTACTCGGGCATATTCCTGACCGTCAGGCCGGCCTGGTTCACCCCAGCACTGCAGACATCCACGTAAAGCCGGGACATCCGGGTGTTCGCTGCCCTGCAAAACCGCCGAAACACGGGCAGTGCCGTGAAAGTACGTGTAAAATAAGAGTTAGAGTAAGTAAGTAATACAGTAAGGAAACTCTTTCCTCTTCATTCATTGCTGGTTCTTTATACGAGATGTGTGGATTCCAGTTGATCGCTTGATTAGAAAGATTACAGTTCTGTCGATGCCTATGAAGGTATAAAAAAACGTACGCGTGATAAAAACATTAACGTGTTATTTAATGCCGATTGAGACGGATACTAGAGAAGCGGTTGCCGAAAGGAGATGTGGATCCGAAAGCCTGAACGCGGCAGATTCTTCGCGCAGTCCGCGCAAGGCGCACGCGACCGCGGGGGAACGTCCTTACCGACAGTATGCCAGCGCTGGCAGCTATGATCGCTGCGCGCAATGAATTGGCCGGACTGGCGCCACGATCCATAAGCTGCCAGCGAACAGTCCGCGAATTTTTAGTGGCGGACACAGCAGGGTAGACATTTGCGCGACATGTGAACAGTGTTGACTTGCTTATAAAAAGGCTACCGAGAATCTGTTTTCGTAAACCGAGCTGATGATCACAAGCGAAATCACGAGAAGACTGTCGAAATTCTTTGACAGTTCGCGAACCTTGCCCGAGTAATGAAAGCGGCTGTTCAGAATCAGGAAAACCTACCGGCGCTCTTCGCGCCCCAACGCGCAACGTTTTTGCAACGTTCCAATGGCGAGGCTCGTACGGGACGAGTTGGAAAGCAGTGCGCGCCTGCGCCGCCTATAGCCCATGAGACTGGACACTCTCTCGCACCTCTCGGCTTAGCTTAGCACTCAATGGCTAATCGAGGTGGGAGCAGTCCTAGTCTATATATGCGCTTTGCATCCTCGGCAACCTTCTGAAAGAGAAGGTAGGCCTATACTAGAAACATTACCAATTTCGTTAGTAATAGCATTTCGTATTTAGTTAGCATTATATAGTTATTGAAAACGGCTTCAAGTGCCTTGTGGTCTAGTATAGCCTAGGGGTTTCTAACCACATAGCAAAATGAGCGTTTCTATGCTAGTCGTAGGCCCTAGTAGTCTTAGATAGTACTAGTTGGTCAAGGCATAGAGAACATGGCTCCATTATTATATGGGCCCCCAATGTATGGATGGGCAATAAAACCAACTGTCATTTTACATCAATATAAATATATATTATATCAATATAATAGGTTAGCGCGTTAATGCGTTAGGTTCGTCATTGATGGAGTAAGTTAATTACTAAGAACAGAAGTTAGTCAATTATGACTATTACTATTAGTCCTGCGGTCGTGGTAGTTACTAAGTACTAGTACTAGGAGTGCTGGTAACTTAGTAGTACTACTATACTAACTAGTACTACTAGTAGTACTTAGTAGTAATTATGAAACACTGGGGAGCTGGTGTAGTATACAAGTGGATGGGGGTCGTTAGGCCGTAGGTGTGGAATGTAATACCAGTCTAGAATGTGCCGCTGAGGTGGGCATGTGCTCGGGGGAGTCTAAGAGGAGAAGGCTCATCAGTTAGTGTGTGCTGTACGTGCGGGCTTGGATCTGCTGCGAGTGGTGGGTACAGGGTGTGAATATATGCCGAAAACGCGGGGCAAAACGGGGCTAGAGAGAGATGCGAGCGCGGGGTCAAGAGGTTCATTAAGGAGAAGGACATGGACTACAGATATGAAAAACGCGACGTCACGATTTCAGTTTAGACTCCGGTATCGGGGACGGTTAATTCGCGAAGTCTCTTTCGCTAACACTTAAAAGTTATAGTTAGTGCAGCGTGGTGAAACTCTCCAACCGCACGGCGTCTAACGAAAATTGGTCTGCGAAATGGCCTCGGCAACGAGAACTCGTTCGCGCATCTATGGGCCGCGGATATGTACCGAGGGGGGGGGGGGGGGGGGGGGGGCGGGGGAAACTTCAGGGCGTTAAATTAAATAAACTTAGAATCGCATTTTATAGGAAAAAGCGTAACGCCGCCAACAAAAAAAAACACCAATTACGGCACCATTGGACTTTATTCTCGCCCTACGTGCAGAGGTCAAAGGCTTCTAGCAATCCCCAGAACTGCCGCTCAATTGACCGCAAATTCTCACGGCTTTCTCTAGTACCAGAGGGATTCGAGTATAGGGCATACATATAGGGCAGCGCAGTTGTTGAAAACGCGCTGCGGCGCGTATATATCCGGCTGCAGATCGTCGAGATCTAATTTTACTTGTCTCTACTCTTGGGATCGTGGACCGTCCCCACGTTCGCTTCGTGTAGCGCCACCTTGCGCACTGGGCTGTTTCAGGGCCGAGCATGTGCTGGTATGGCAGGCAGCTGATGGCAGCCTCGGCAGCAGCTCAGCCAGCCGGTGAGGATCGCCTTGTTTGTGAGGTGGACTGCAGTCAGAGTGTGGCGACTTCCAGGTGGCGAAGCCGTAGCCACCGGTTACAATTACTGTTCCACCAGGTCTGCAGTGGAGAAAACACGCGCGGAAACGTCCTGTACTGGTGTGTGTGGCAGTGTAGTGTGTGTGTCGTGTGTCGTGGTGTGTGTGTAATGGGTGTGTGTGCTGTTTGTTTCGTGTGTGTGTGTTGTGTGGTGTGATGTGTGTGTTGTGTGTGTGGGGTGGTGGTGATGTGGTGAGTGTGTGTGTATGTGGGTCGTGTGTGTTGTGTGTTTGTGTTGGTGTGATGTGGTGAGTG